TTCCAAAAGCTACAGTGAGCATTACCTAAATTATTCTCAGAACTAAAAATAAAATGGAAATAATATCTACTGCATTGGCAAAAATCTAGATGTTTTCATTTCCTCCCTTTCTCCTTCTTCATCCACAAACAAAAAATCTTTGTGGGTAACTGCTGCAGTTGATGCTATGACCACTGAAGGACTATTGTTTGTCTGTGTGCTGTTCTTACAAACATGAAATTTCTAAGCACAGAAAGCTGTTAAGACTGATGTCCTTGGTTCATTTGTTCAGACCTAGTTATCGAGGCATAAATAGTGTGCTGTATAACACCATGAAATAACCTAGGAGTATCTATAATGCACAGGTACAGTGAGACCTAGAAAAACAGGGTATCCAATGCTAAAAAAGAGAACCAGCATTACCCGATTTCCTTGCCCTGGTCTTACATAGCTTTAGCAAATAACACAAGGTTTTTCCCTTTTGCAATAGATGGAGTTCCATATATGACTACTTTAGAGGAACATGCAAAGCCTGAATACTAATATTAATATTAAAAGACCCCAGAACCTTTCATCTTCATTCTTCCCCCTTCTCTCCCCCCCCCTCCAGAAAAGCTTTCTTCCAAATGTGCATTAATTTGAAGCTATCACAAGTAAAATTCATTGCTGCATTTGAAATGGGTTTTCTTGTTTGTCTAATATGAAAACAATACAAAAGTGCATGAAAAACAGTAAATTAAATGATCCTCCTAGTCACTGTGGTGATCATGTTTAATTACATGATCTCATGTTTAATTACATTTTAAAATAAAACAAGCATACACTTAAACTGATACAGCATGATGGCTGCTTTGGTGCTGCTGTAGACGTGCATGCAAAGACTTGGATTACTGACCTGACAGGCCATGATGGTAATCCAAAATAGCCATTATGGTGTCTACTGTAAATACTTATTTCACGGACCCCTGACACAACGGATGGCAACAAGATAGAGGTTTATAATAGAAATGCTGGCACAACCTTATCTATAGCTGTGCAAATGGTGCCGCTATAATTAAACTTTACAACTTGAGCATCACTAGATAAGTTGCTAGTTTTTAACCATATTAATCAGATCCTGGATGTTTCAGTTGCCATATATTATGCAGCATGCACTATAAAAATAAGATGATTCCCAGCCGCTGAAGATCATAGCTGTTATGAAACACAGAAGTATATCCAAACACTTCACTGCAAGTGCGAACATACCAAATGAAAACCTCAGTCAGTTATCCTTTTTGTGCTTTGTTTCCCAATACATGGGCTCGATATAATAGCCACAGAAAGTACTCTGAATACATTACAAAAATGTCACTGAATACTAGAAAAGCTTCATTAAGATCTGCCCCATATGTTTCAAATTTTCCTATCAGCAGCAAAACAAGTCTACTGTCTTCAGTGATAATGACAGTTAGAAGCCTGCTCTTTCAGAGGGAGGCACTGAGATTATTCTTCATGCACTGCTGTCTTCTTTAAAAGCTGGCTTTTCAGTGCTAGGGAGGAGTGGGTGGCAAAACTCTCACTGCTTTCAGTGGTCTGAGATTTGGAGCCTGGGAATATTTTATGTAAATATTTCTCTTCACATTTTCTCTTCATTTGTCCAACTGATTTACAGTTTTACTTCAGCAAAGAAAGTTTCCTCTCAAAGATGCTATATTTGGTGCAAACTGAACAGATACTGCATTGGAGCTGAAACCCTTTATTTTTACTGAGTGGGTATTGCTAACTATAATGAAATTAATCTATTAATAAAGATTTGCTGTTCGCTATTACCCTGAATTTGCAAACCCTTGCATGAAGCCTGGCAGCTTATATGTACCATGTGATATATTCCCACACTGTCAATGCCTATTCTTTTACAGTACCGGTTTTATAACATTTTCTGTAGCAATTCCTCTAAGATGGGTGGCACAGGTATGTTGCCTATGCGTCACGAGAAGTCCCGTAAGAAAAGAGCATGCCTGTAATTATGTATGGTGGAACAGAGAATGCTACGGACGTTTCTGAAAACTGTAAGAGCTGTGGCAATGCACAGGAGTTGCCATAGTGTTATTCTGACCCCTGAAGGATGAAAACAGAGTTAACTTCATATCCTTTTTTTTTTTCCAATTTACTCAGTATACTCTATGAATGTCAAACTCTATACTACATTAGGAGGATTTATTAGTGCTTGCCCAGACTTATCCTCCAGAAATATGAAAATAGTCATGAACTAATGGTGAACCAACTTCAAAATACTGATGTTTTCAGGGAAGCAGAGGTAAAAATGATTTTTCAGGCTTGTTCCATGGTAAAAATACTGTGAGTTTGATAGTTCATTAAATCTAGTAGGTATGTGAAGATCACGTTTATCAAGAGATGTAAAACCCACTGTGCCCTAACCTCTTCTTAACTGAAAAGCATTTTAGCGACATTTTTCTGGAAGGAATTCAGAGTGAAGTGAGGAAGGACGTAGGCCAGTGATGATAAGATCACTCATTTCACCTGACTTAAGATTTCATCAGGCTTATATTTTTTCAGAAAATACATCTGTTAGAGGCCTCAGCAGTGCCTTTACATGCTTAACTGTATTCCAGAGGTACTCTTCCCCGACCTCCAGAAGAGACAGGAATAGGGATTTATGATTCTAAAATGGCTATTAAGATAAAGTATATCTTGATACTACTATCTTTGTGGATAATTTTGTGAAAAGTGCATCCAAGTTAAATCACTGTGAGTCCTGTCACACCTTTGCTCTTCCTCTGCTCACTTCTAAGATGCTTGAAATGTGTTAATGGACCACCTTTTAGGTTCCCCATAAAGTAACAGGTGGATTAGGCTGTTAGAGCTGACAATACTTTTTTCTAAAGTCAGTCATGCTGTACTGTAAAATACTAAAGCACCATCCTGCTAAAGCTGTGACGCAGTCACTGCACACACCAAGAGAGAACACTACCTGTGTTAAATAACCTCGGGGTGAAGCAGCACCAGCTCTGCCTTAACACTAGAAGAGGGGTCAGCAGAACACCACGTTTGGAGGGAGGCGACAGCGAGGAAGGGGGGGAGGATAGATTTTAATTTTGGGTTTGTTCCTCCTCCGCTCAGCTGTTGCCATGCACTGAAGCCCCAGGTTGCCGAGTGACCTTGCCAAGGAGCCCGCAGCCGGACTTGCTGAATGGTACCATTGTGCAGACTCCTCGCTGGGGCTGCTTCGCTGGAGCCCTCTCCGCGGGTGTGGCTGCACTAGCAACTGGGCAGCCTCATCCTGCCTGGGCATCCTGTCCCGGGGAAACTCCGCCAGGAACACGCTGAGGCAGAAAAAGGCTTCCTGCGAGAGGCAAGCCCCTTGTCAAGAGCAGAGTAAGGATGTGTCTTCTTCTGCCCAGGTCTCCATCCCCCGCTGCCAGCAGCACTACAAAGTTAACCCAAGTGATCAATACGCTATATAAGCATATTATTCCACTATCGGCGACTAATGCCACTGATGTAATCAAGTTACATAATCGCCGTCTTTGCACAAATACATCCATCTTCCTACAGACAGATCTGCATATCTTTTTCCATTCATTATGCATGAACCCAGCAGCAGTACATAAGGGTATGTATTTTCGCACACACTACAGAACTTTAGTGTTGCAGTGTGTTGCACTGCACAACATCATCACAATTGATTGCCTCAACCTTCTCCCATTCCCTCTATCAGAACTGATCGTGCAGAGAAAGATTACCAGTGTGCATTGCTTGGATCCCTTCAAATCTTTAGAGGCTGAAGTGCTTCCCTTGCTCGCTTCTGTTCTTAAGAAGACAATCTTTTCTCTCCTTTTTCTCCCTGTCTTGCTTCACACAACTAGCAGGAACTAATTCACACACAGTCTCTCAGCCAGATGCATGTATGTATGAAATACCAAAGATAGCATCCCTGTTCGCAAATCTTCAACTCCCATACACGTGGTCTGAGGTTTCAGTAGGTAAGTTAGGGGGGGGACTATAAGAGCAGCTGGATAAGACATTTTCAGGCTAGTGACATTAACGGTATTTCTCTATGATCAAGATGAGATTTTTTCTTACTGTCCCTCAGCTCATAACTGCTTTGCAGGATTTACAGGAACAGTTGTAACCCAAATTACCAGTGGCATTTAACACCCTTAGCACCAGAGCTCTGTACCACGATCAATAAGGATCGCCACCTTAAAGTTTGACAACTTGAAAAGCAGGATTTCTCTCTCTCCATTGCAGCTATGAAATGCAGCAGAATGCTGCACAGGGTTGGAAACGCTTGTTTTAACCAGCGGATGGTATCCGATCATCATATTAAATAGATTCCATCACGGAGAGCTTCTTCACTATCACCTTTTCAGTCAAAAATAATACAACCGAGGCAAAAGGGGAAAAAAAAAAAAAAAGGAGGGGGAAATAAAATACTCTTTCCCAAACCAAGAGGGTGCAAGAACAGAGAGGGAGAGGGAGATTTTTATCTCAAAAAGCACTCACCAGAAGATCTACTGCAGTTATTCCACTCAACTGCCAATACCGGCTGGAGCCCTTCGCATCAGGATAATGCAGCAATCCCGAAAGTACCCATCATTTCAATCCCACACCACCAAGTTTAGCAATGCCAGGCTTTTTCCTGGATAAAATGACCTTACCCTCAGGAGTCTCCCGCAATATCCCTCCTGTGCGATCAGTCAGCGAGGCGAGAGCCGGTCACCACACTGCGCACTCGGCCGGAGAAGCCCCGTGTTTACTCCTGGGGCTGAGCTGGCCGCTAGTGCCGCGGCGCCCATCCATCCACCGCTGCCAGCCCCGCCGCGGGTGCAGGTAATTCCATACAGACTTCGGCGGCGCCCCCCACCCCCCACGAGTCGCCCCTTCCTTCCTAGTTCAGAAAGTGCCCGCGGCGCCGGCGGGAGGTACCATCCAGGTGCGGCGGAGGGGGGGGGAGGTGTTGGAGGGGGCGGCCTGCCTGGGAGCCCCCACGCCGCCCGCGGGCACCTCCGCACCCTGCTCCCCGCCGCCGCCGCCGAGGGCCGGATCCGGGCTCTGCCACGCACGAGTATCCAGTGAGCAGCGGTCCGGCGGGGTTCCCTGGTGCTGGGCGGCAATGGGGAAAGCGCTGTGGATGGGAAGAAGGGGGCGGCGGGGCGGGGGGAGGGTGCTTGCCGGGTCCTAGCACCCGCACCGCCGTACCAAGGAAAAAAAAGGAAGATGGGGTGGTGGGGGAAAAATATCTCCAAAGGGAAAAGAAAGAGGAAAAAAAATCGCTTGTCCGCTTGCCCCAAACGATACTAATCCCCTGTGAGAATGATAAGTGATCAGCAAAAAAAGAGGAGGTCTTGACTGATAACCACAATCCACCCAAAATATCCTAAGGAGCAGAGGCAGAGCGGGAGGGAGAGAGGCAGAGGAACTGCAGCGTACGCACAGCTCCCCTGCTTCCACGAGCCGCGCTCGATCGGCGGAGCGCGTCCTCCGCCGGGCCGCCTGCCGGCGGCAGCTGCCGGTACCGCCACCCGATGGACGCCGCCGGGTTGCGCGCCCGCACCGCACCGCCAGCGCCCGCCGATGAGGAGGAGGCGGAGAAGGGTGGGTGTTTGGGAGAGGGAGGGAGGGAGCGAGGGGGGGAGGACCCTTCGAAGAGATCCTGGAGAAACTCCCCGGTACGGGGCCTCCCTGCCGCACGCCTCCCCGCGCCGCCTCGGTCCGCCGCGCTGGGGCCGCGCCCGCCCGGGGCAGGAGCTGTAGCTGGGGCAGAGGCAGGGGAGGGAGGGGGAGGCTGAACGCCCGGTGCGCAACATGCGCGGGGGTCAGCCTGTTTCTCTTTCCCGAATGAGGTTTAATTTATTTTTGTGTCTCCCCCCAAGTTCCCCTCCCGTTTCCGAAGCGAAGTGTTGTTTTAGGAGAGATGATACATTATCTATTCTTGGATTTTTATAAGGCAAACTGTGGGCCTCGCTGTTGCCATGGGATCTTCTTTGTGCGAACTCTCTGAACTGTGTGGGAACAGTTTTATTTCCTTCCCTTCAGATTTTTTTTCCCCCTCTTCTCCTCAGTAGCTCTTCTGAAGACATGTAGCCAAATGTAACTGCATTATTGCCAATTAAGATTAACAGCAGCTGCAAGGTGCATCTAATTAAGAATGTTAATTACTTCATGAAATAAATAGTAATTTGCAGATGTTTATAATACTAAGCAAATGTTCCATAAAGCCTAACTCTAAAATTCTGACACCCCGCAATAAATTTGACCACATTCCTGCACAAAGGTGCAGGTGGAATAGGCATCCCTTCTTCCATAGAACTAGCCCTGCAGACACACACTTTGGGAATATATACATGGAGTTGCCTGTCCATAGGTAGACAGTTGTGTCAAGAGGCATTCCATACTCTTACAACCTATTGCATGGGGTGGGAGGGTGGAGGAGAAGGAAGTATCTGAGCATTGTGAAGTAACACACACAGTTGTGTATCTGTTTACGTCTGTGTAAATGGTACTCCCCAAAAGAGGGACAAAGAGACTAGGCAACATTCCATTACCAATAAATCCATCCTGTCTTCCTTGCAGGGCTGTAGAGAAGAATCCGAACTGCTACAGTTGTTAAACCCCGATCTTAGAAGACAAGAGAGGAAAGAAAAGCAGCATGTGGGAAAGTGTGATTTTATTACAGAACATGATAAAGGATTATCGATAGATAACGTGCCGTGAAGAGTCAGTGGGTTGCAGGAGAGGTGGGAGCTGTTGCAGAATTTGTGGAGCTCGCTCACACGCCATACCACCTCTCCTTATGATAAAAAGAATGCCATTCTTTATGCTGGATAAAAGAGAAGAATAAACCAGAAATGAATGCAACAACTAGTAAAATCAAAATTAAATTTAAAACACAGAAATTAATGTGACTGGTTAAAGGCATTCAGATACTACTATGATGAGTGATCCATATGAGGGGGTAGCTAAAAGACATACAAAAAACTTTCTGGGATTCTCTTTGTAGATCAGTACAGGGCATTTTAAGTTAGCAAAATGACTCATCCTATCTACTTCAGAGAGCTGGTTTGGGTGCTTGATTTAGAAGCCCAGGCATCCTAGCTGGTTGGGAGAGGGGGAGAGAGGGAAAGTGAGAGAGGCTTCTAACTTTGATTCTCACTGTTATCCTTTGAGAGAGCTGCTCTCTTACCACTGAGAAGCAATATCAGACTCCCAGCACAGGCACCTCCATTACGTGATATCCAAAGTCTTTGCTCCTGGACAGCATGATGAGTGCTCGAGGCTGTTCATGCTCTGCAATAGGAATAGGAAGGTGGTGCGTGGGGTTAACATGTCAGCCAGACACCCAGTGCACACCTTCAGTTCCTGATGTTTTACAGGTTTCTCTTCCACTGATACGCAAGTCATGTAATCACTCTGTACTTTTGTTCTTTTTCTCTGTAATGCAAATTAACACTGTGCTTATTCACAAGGGTGCAGTGAAGATAAAAAGTTAATGTTTGTGAGATGTTTGTATACAGTGGTCATGGGAGCTATGTAGGTTCCCAGAGAGGCTGCTTAAGGGTCTGTCAGGAGAAAGGGAAAATGAAAAAAGGTGGAAGACTGAAGATGTGAACAAAATACAATGTAATTGCTAAAATAGCAGAAACCAGACTAATAACACAGTAAAGATGTAGACCATTCACATGTGCAGAATACAAACCACCTGTGTTCTTGGTTAAATTCACCCCTGGGTTGAGGAAACTGGTTTGGGTTCATTTCTCAGTCACTGAATTGATGTGAATAGCAATGCAGTTGTACAGACACAGGTAAAGAGATTTTAGCTTTCTTTTTTCCTCAGCCATATACTGAATCTCTATTTGGCTTTGTCCTCCCATCAACCAGTATGGCATGTATAACATAGAAGGGGGTCTCCTTTCTCCTGATCGTGACTTGAGTGTTTTCAAGATATTTTATCGAAGAGATAAACATAATCTTATTTTTTTTCTAAACATTGTTTTAATTCTGTGGCATGCAATGCATGGGGTAATGTCAATGAGTATTATGCTTGTACTTGCACCAGTCCTAACCATTCCCTCATTCTATGATTCTGTGTATATAATCTTGAGGTATCATGTCCCTTGAAGTAAGGAAAAGGCACAAACCACATCCTCATCTATATTTCAGTAAGTGACTTTAAAAGGATTATCCCATTTAATGTGTCTTAAGGAGAGCAAAACAATGTAGTTGAAGTAAACTCCCTTTTCTAAAAGTAATATTTAAAATGAAAGGGCTGGCAGAGTATATGGCTCCAAAGAATGTTAACATCATGCAGAATACTTTTGGTTAGTAAGTTCAATTTGGTCGAATGGGTAGCATCCAAGATCTAACACTATGCCTTAGCTGCATGGTGCCCTTAAAACCTCCTGGCCTTGTGTTTACCTTGCTGGCAAGTTTGTTTAGAGGTTCTTGATTTCTCACTACCTACCTGTGGACTTCAGGTATTGAACAGTGTTTCCATTTGTATATTTGTTTCCCAATTTTTAACATAATGGGAGAAAAAGCCTAAGCAATGCAAAACACCAGCACTTACACATTCTCTTGTTTAGTGTGTATATACAATAGAACTACAGCATGATACACATCTAGCTGGATGGTAAGCATAGTTTTTTTTATATGATGAAAGAAACCCTGAATTTCCAAAATACACCTTCATTCCCCCACTGAAAACACCAAACAGAAGCCCTACTCATGTAAAAATCTACATCTGAATGCTGTAAACTGCAGTATCAATCTAATTGCTAAACAGTTTCAGTAAAGCAAAATGGTCAGCATTTTATCTTTTTTTTTTTTTTCTTTTCCCTTTTCCAAGTACAATTGCATTTATCTGATTAAAAAGCAGCTTTGGTTATCATGACTAAGTAGTCTGGACTACTTCAAAGAGAACAAGGTAAAACCTGCAAACTGCTATATGGGTAACTTCTCTGACTCTCCTTGAGTCTTGTGTATTTTTTTATATTTTTAATTTATATATAATGACATGTTATTTATATTATGTGCTTTATATATTGTAGATTACATATTACAGATTTCTGATAAGTCAAGGCAAGAGTGTTCAAGAAAGCAAATACTTCAAAAAGAATAATCCATATTTCCGTATTTTATGAAAATTTCAAAAGCAATTTCCTTTACAGACGAGCCTGACTCTGAGGAGCAGTATCTAGTCAGGGAATAATACTCATCTCATAATGAAGAGATTTAATCACAACAATTCTTGTTTATAGTCTTAACTGCAATTATATTTGTCTCTTCCTGAGCTACATACCCATTTCCGTAAGTATGAGGGTGCTGTACTCACTGCTGAGCTATGTTGTCCCAAATGCTACAGTTTTACTATGCTTTTCTTGTTGATACTACTTTTGTGTGACTAATCCAGCAGCTTTGTGCCGAGCATGCCAGACAGCTCAGGCTATTTGATACACAGCTCTGCAAGGCTTTGCTGTCTATGCAGTTGAGAGAAGCCTTCCTGTGTCGGGAAGGCATCAGTTGTAGGTGGCCTGAACAAAGCACTACGACACCTATAGATGAAAAGTGACATTACATAAAAGCTAAATACCTTGTTACTACTTGAGTAGGAGGATTCGTTCATTCAGAAAGCCATTCCTCCAAAACATGCATTTCATTGATTCTTAATGTTTAAATGTCCCGCAACTCACTACTTTAACCTAATTTAGCAAAAGATAATGTCAAAGTAGTTAAATGCTCATCTCTTGCACATTTTTAATTTTGTAGGAAAATGGTTACTTACTGTTCCTCTAGTCTCTCATTAGGGTGTATCAAATGAAGGTAATATCCATCCATAAGCTACTTAGACCATATACCTCATCTATTTAGTTAAACAGTACACTATCACAAAATGAGAAAACAAAAAAGACGGAGTGCATTCATGCATTAAAAAAGATTCATGTTTTGTTTCGGAGTTACTGCTTTTATTTTTTTCCAAAGACCTAATAGTAGGCAGTAATAAGGGATTGTTTTCCTTTGAGGATCTCTTTACTTTCAGAATAAAGTCAATAGAAAGGCTCCTACTACTTCAACAGCCATTATAGCTGGTCTTGCACTACTGTTATCCAATCAGATATCATAAATTAGAGATTTTAAATATAAGCATTATTTGGACAAAAATTCCATAAGAACAATTGACCCGAGTTAGGAGTAATACACATTGGCCAGCAATGTATGCCCACCAGCGACAAGAACTGAATAACAGGGGGTTAGGAACGCAGTGCTGATGAAATGCAAAAGCAATACTTGCATAATACATCTCCTGACTTCTGACAACTGTCAGTGCAGGGAATTTCACTTTTTGTCATGAGAAAATGCCAATCACAGATGTGAAAATTAAGAGACAAATGTGATCTCAGTTGCAAAAAAACCCAAAAATATAGTGGAGAAATCAAGAAAGCACATAAATCCTTCCTGAGTCATCCAGCTGCTTTGTGAAAAACTTTTTCAGTCTTTCTATTAAGTTTTTCTGTTTTCATTCTAAAAATTGCCAGAAGGTGGAATAGGACAAGGGATAATGTGTTCAAACTTAAACAGGGGTGGCTTAGGTTGGATATAAGAAAAAAATTCTTTAGTGTGAGAGTGGCAAGGCACTGGAACAGGTTGCCCAAAGAAGCTGTGAATGCTCCATCCCTTGCAGTGTTCAAGGCCAGGCTGGATGGGGCTTTGAGCAACCTGATCTAGTGTGTTGTGTCCCTGCTCATGGCAGGGGGGTTGGAACTAGATGATTTTAAGGTACTTTCCAACCCAAACCATTCTGTGATTCTATGTGCTAAGAGAGCAGGTCCCATGGGCCACAGCGCCCTTCCCGCTATACTGTTCCCCAGCCCCACACCTCCTCCACCACCTGCTTCTGCCTATTGAGCCCCTCTGTCACTGAAATATTTTCTTAGGAGGAAAGGGATTTTTTTATATCCCCCTGCCCACATACAGGCAGGCCAAGGTGAGCATCAGTGGGGCAAACCAGGGCAGGCAGTAGCAGAGCAGCGTTGCTGGGACCTCCTTCAGCAGCACCATCCCTCCAAACCTGGAGGTAGTAAGGAGAGCCTGGACATGGAAGATGACTGAGATCTACAAGCTGTCTGGCAAACAAAAGGAAAAGGCAAGGGCTGGAGTTAGGCCAAGGTGAAGCTGGGAGCCATGAGGCTGATAAGGGACAGTCAGGTCCTCATAGATGCCTGGGTATGCACAGAGGATATTATAAACAGTTTAATAAATATTTGTTATGCAGTCCTAGACATCTATCAAAGCATGCCTGTTGTCACTCTGGGATGCACTATTGGTACTCTACATGAATGAGGTTCAGGTGGTCATCATGTAGCTAATGGGTGAATAGCACAAATTTTCTTCCTTTGACTGCAGGGTCTCCTGTTGAAGCACTCACCCACTCACTACAAAAATGACTGCTTCAGCTTTGGTGCAAGTAAACCAATCAAAACATGAAGTCGTGTAGGTCAGTGTAACAGTATGGATGCTACAAGCAGGGTAATATGGTGTTCGCAGCAAATTCCCAAAGAAGTAGAGTTACTTCCATCCTGAAGTACATTAAGTACTAAACTTTCATATATCATTGTGACTGAAAAAATCAAATCCAGAAACTGTCTGTGTAGATGTAAACACTTTGACAAAACAGACTAAAATTTAACTGGTTTAATATTTCTTCATAAAAATATCCTTTTGGAAAGTCATGAAGCAGAATAAGAGGTTGCTAAAATCAAAGCTGTGTGAACTACCTACCTCACAGAGCTCATGAATCAATTACAATAAAGCTATACCTGTCAAAATTAATTAACCTTAAAAACAGTTATTATTCAGTGTTGCTGATTTTCTGTCTCCTACACACGCACATATGTGTGCACACAGTGGTACTTGACTTTGAGCTTACAAGTGCACCCAATTTAGCAGCTGCAAAGGTTTATCCCAGTTATTAATATAAGATACTGGGATTTATCTGCAGTGAGAATGTTTTTCCGCTCAATTTTGCTATTGGGTTGCCAGGGGATATTCAGACTTCTAGATACAGGTATAGCTTGTGCATGTGGGAATAATTCACTTGAGGGCAAGACAAGAACAATGCACACAATGGAAAAAAGGAGGAGAAAATCAAATCTTCATTAGATGTATGACAGACCTTGATTGAAATATCTGGATGGGAAGACCATACTACAGCTATAGTCTGGACCACCTATCTAAGATTGTGACAATGACTGTAAAGGAGATTAGAAAGATTATAGAATTATAGAATCATTTAGGTTGGAAAAGACCTTTAAGATCATCAAATCCAGCCAGTAACCTAACACTGCCAACTCCACCACTAAACCATGTCCCTCAGTGCCACAGCTACACATCTTTTAAATATCTCCAGGCAAGGTGACTTAACCACTTTCTTGGGCAGCCTGTTCCAAAGCTTGACAACCATTCCAGTAAAGAAATTTTTCCTCATAGCCAGTGTAAGCCTCCCTGGCTCAACTTGAGGCCATTTCCTCTTGTCCTATCGCTTGTTACTTGGGAGAAGAGATTAACACCCACCTTGCTACAACCTCCTTTCATGTTTTCCTAGACTTCTTCTAGTCATTTTTAGAGACAAGACAGTGGGCTAGCTGGGTCTTTGTGATGACTCTCCATGGATATGTATTTTGCATTTACACTATATGGACTGTGAAAGTTTTGCGTTATTGAAAGATTTAATGCACCTTAGGCAGAGTTAATGCAACCAAGAATCTGGAAACAAATGGAACATCACTTTCCTGGGTTTAGTGTACAAGTATTTCAGTTTCCACTGCTGTGTACTTCTATCTAAAAAGGGACTAAAAACTGCTAACAGGTAAGAATTCTTGCATTGATTCAATGCTCTTTCTTACGGGTGTAAGTAAGCAGATATTATGAATGCAGTAGGAAGAAAGGCAAGAGATCCTGAAAAAGCAGGAAGTCCAGGCTGAATTTCAGTTCTGTCAGGCACTATTAATAAAGATACTGAGTTGTATTAAGTATACAGGTCAGTTCAAAATGGTACAGGTTACACTTCTACATGGAGCTTACATGGGGGTTCGGGTTGGGTTTGTTTGTTTTTTTCTTTTGTTTGGTTGGTTGTTTGGGTTCTTTTATTATTAGCTTATTCCTGTTGTACAACCTGTAACCTTACTAGCAGAGCTGCTAGTATTTCAGGAAGGTTGAAAATGTTCATAGGACAGAAACCTTCCTAACATGCCCTCAGGTTTGGAGTGACTAAAAAAATGCATTTGTGGGTGATGGCAGCATGGCAGGGCCTCTGTATTATCAACAGTAAAGGGTTAAAGAAAACTAGTTTTTAACACAGCTGTGGGGTTTCTATCACTGTTTGAATCTTTCTTCATCTTTATAGAGAAACATGACAGCCTTAGTGGGAGAGTATTGTGCACTACTGAAATGCTATGTGGCTACAGGACAACTTTACAGGGTCAACAAATTTGAAGCTTCACACAGCTTTATAAGGGTGCCAGCTTTTCCTGATGTGAATCTATAAATGATTTTGTCAGACTTTTGTTATCTACAGTCTGAAATGCAGATTTCCCACTTCCAACATTTTCTTTATATCTTATGTTAAATATTCTCTTGAAATAAGCAGCAGCATAAAGAAATGCTACAATTTTAGCATGATTGTTACAGGACATCTATGACAGAACAGAAAGCAAGCTGCAGGCAGTGAAAAATGGAAGACCAGCAATTACCAAGATTTACAAGAACACTCCTTTATACCTGTGTTCTGTGGACCTGGAAGAAACGTAACTTCCATTTCAATGTGTAGTTTTGACTTGCTTTATCTTAAAAATGCTAGTTTGTTTGAAAGGTCAGCGTTCTTTATTCTTATGAGGGCACAAAGCTACTCCTTATGAGAGCAACAGTGGTGGTGTAGCATTTCCTGAAAGAAAAGAGACAAATATAAATGCAAAGGAGAAAGTTTTGATTTCGGCAGTGGAGATGAATCAGAACAAGAAAAAATAAAGGCAGAGGAGAGTGGCAGAGTCTGAAATGAAGGCAGTGTGATCTGAATATTGATGAAGAGGCATTGACAAGATGAAAGATCTCTCTCTGTCGCTCTCTCACCCTCTTATTTCCAGTGTGTAAAATCTGTCCTGTTGACACACTTTTGCGCTCTTTTTATGTTGCAGAACTAGAACGAATAGGATTCACCATCAGTGCTGGTGGTGTCGCAGGCCCTGTGACAGATACTTGCTAGGGGAAGGCCTCAACAGCTGCATCCCATTCTCCCCCATTTTCTGAGACCCTTCAGTCCATGCAACTGGACTTTATCAAGGTTTGAGAATTCTTCTCTGAGTAATTCAGGCTGATTACAAGAAAAGGAGATCTATGGGGTACTGACAATTCACATCCACACTCCAGGGAAACACAGTATACTTAAATACATAAGGTATTTTACATGTATATAATTTAAGTATATTCATAACGTAACATATTTCTCTGATGGATGTCAGTACTTAGAGGAAATCCTGTTTTGAAAACAAAAGAACAAAAAAAAAAAAAAAAATCCCAAACAGACATGCCATATTTGAAAATAAAAGGTTACCAAACTTAAAAAAAGGGTGACCAGGTTAGGAAAGCGAAGGCCCAGTTACAATTAAACTTGGATAGGATATTAAGGATAACAGGAAAGGATTCTACAGGTACATAGCAAATAAAAAACAGACTAGGGAGAACGTAGGCCCCCTCAGGAAGCTCTCGGGTGAAATGGCTACACAGGATTTGGAGAAGGCTGAGGTTCTGAATGACTTCTTTGCCTCGGTCTTCTCTCTAGCAAAGGCTCTGACTGCACCACCCAAGTCTTGGAAGGCAGACGCAGGGACTATGAGAATGAAGACCTTGGGCCCACCGTAGGAGAGGAATTAGTTCAAGACCATCTTCAAAATCTGAGCGTGCACAAGTCCATTGGTCCTGATGAAATCCATCCGCGGGTGCTGAAGGAGCTGGCGAATGAAGTTGCTAAGCCACTGCCCGTCATATTTGAAAAATCATGGCAGTCAGGTGAAGTTCCCAACCACTGGAAAAAGGGAAATATAACCCCCATTTTCAAGAACGGGAAAACGGATGACCTGGGGAATTACAGACCAGTCAGTCTCACCTCTATGCCTGGAAAAATCTTGGAGCAGATTCTCCTGGAAGGCATGCAAAGGCACATGAAAAACAACAAGGTGCTTGGTGACAGCCAGCATGGCTTCACTAAGGGGAAATCCTGCCTGACCAATTTGGTGGCCTTCTATGATGGGGCTACAGAACTGATGGACAGCAATAGAGTAGTTGATGTCATCTACCTGGACTTGTGTAAAGCATTCGACACTGTCCCACACAACATCCTTGTCTCTAAATTGGCGAGACATCAATTTGATGACTGGACCACTTGGTGGCTAAAGAACTGGCTGGATGGATGCACACAAAGTGTTGTGGTCAATGGCTCAATATCCTGCTGGAGATCTGTAACGACTGGTGTCCCTCAGGGATCGGTGTGGGGACCAGTCTTGTTTAACATCTTTCTCTCTGACATGGACAGTGGGATTGAGTACGCCCTCAGCAAGTTTGCCGATGACACCAAGCTGTGCGGTTTGGTTGATACGCTGGAGGGAAGGAATGCCATCCAGAGGGACCATGACACGCTTGTGAGGTGGGCTGATGCCAACCTCATGAAGTTTAACCAAGCCAAGTGCAAGGTCCTACACCTGGGTCGGGGCAATCCCAGGCACAGCTACAAGCTGGGCAGAGAAGAGATTCAGAGCAGCTCTGCGGAGAAGGACTTGGGGGTGCTGGTCGATGAGAAAATGAACATGAGCCGGCTTCAGTGTGCGCTTGCAGCCCAGAAAGCCAATCGTATCCTGGGCTGCATCAAAAGGAGCATGACCAGGAGGTCAAAGGAGGTGATCCTGCCCCTTTATTCTGCTCTCGTGAGACCTCACTTGGAGTATTGTGTTCAGTTCTGGTGTCCTCAACATAAAAAGGACAAGGAACTGTTGGAACAAGTCCAGAGGAGGGCCACAAGGATGATCAGGGGACTGGAGCACCTCCTATATGAAGACAGATTGAGAAAGTTGAGACTGTTCAGCCTGGAGAAGAGAAGGCGAGAGAATGTGGGAAGATGGCAGAATCATAGAATCATAGAATAGTTAGGGTTGGAAAGGACCTTAAGATCATCAAGTTCCAACCCCACTGCCATGGGCAGGGACACCTTGCTCTAAACCGTATCACCCAAGGCCTCATCCAACCTGGCCTTGAACACTGCCAGGGATGGAGCATTCACAACTTCCTTGGGCAACCTATTCCAGTGCCTCACCACCCTAACAGGAAAGAATTTCCTCTTTATATCCAATCTAAACTTCCCCTGTTTAAGTTTTAAGCCATTACCTCTTGTCCTATCACTACAGTCCCTAATGAAGAGTCCATCCCCAGCATCCCTATAGGCCCCCTTCAGATACTGAAAGGCTGCTAGGAGGTCTCCATGCAGCCTTCTCCAGGTTGAACAGCACCAACTTTCTCAGCCTATCTTCATAAGGGAGGTGCTCCAGTCCCCTGATCATTCTCGTGGCCCTCCTCTGGACTTGTTCCAACAGATCCTTGTCCTTTTTATGTTGAGGACACCAGAACTGCACACAGTACTCCAAGTGAGGTCTCACGAGAGCAGAATAAAGGGGCAGGATCACCTCCTTTGAGCTGCTGGTCACACTCCTTTTGATGCAGCCCAGGATACGGTTGGGTTTCTGGGCTGCAAGCACACACTGAAGCCGGCTCATGTTCATTTTCTCATCGACCAGCACCCCCAAGTCCTTCTCCGCAGAGCTGCTCTGAATCTCTTCTCTGCCCAACCTGTAGCTGTGCCTGGGATTGCCCCGACCCAGGTGTAGGACCTTGCACTTGGCCTGCTTAAACTTCATAAGGTTGGCATCAGCCCACCTCACAAGCGTGTCATGGTCCCTCTGGATAGCATTCTTGCCTCCAGCGTATCAACCTAACCACACAGCTTGGTGTCATCGGCAAACTTGCTGAGGGCGTACTCAATCCCACTGTCCATGTCAGTGACAAAGATATTAAACAAGACTGGTCCCCACACCGATCCCTGAGGGACACCAGTCGTTACTGGTCTCCAGCTCGACATTGAGCCATTGACCACAACCCTTTGTGTGCATCCATCCAGCCAGTTCTTTATCCACCGAATGGTCCATTCATCAAATTGATGTTTCTCCAATTTAGAGACAAGGATGTCGTGTGGGACAGTGTCGAGCACTTTACACAAGTCCAGGTAGATGACATCAACTGCTCTACCCCTGTCCATCAGTTCTGTAGCCCCATCATAGAAGGCCACCAAATTGGTCAGGCAGGATTTCCCCTTAGTGAAGCCATGCTGGCTGTCACCAAGCACCTTGTTGTTTTTCATGTGCCTTAGCATGCCTTCCAGGAGAATCTGCTCCAAGATTTTTCCAGGCATAGAGGTGAGACTGACTGGTCTGTAATTCCCCAGGCTGAGAAAGTTGGGGCTGTTCAGCCTGGAGAAGAGCAGGAAGCATGGAGACCTCCTAGCAGCCTTCCAGTGTCTGAAGGGGGCATATAGGGATGCTGGGGATGGCCTCTTCTTTATGGACTGTAGTGATAGGACAAGGGGTAATGGGTTATAACTTAAACAGGGGAAGTTTAGATTGGTTATAAGGAGGAAATTCTTTCCTGTTAGGGTGGTGAGGCACTGGAATAGGTTGCCTAGGGAAGTTAGGAATGCTCCATCCCTGGCAGTGTTCAAGGCCAGGTTGGATGAGGCCTTGGGTGATACGGTTTAGAGCGAGGTGTCCCTGCCCATGGCAGGGAGGTTGGAACTTGATGATCTTAAGGTCCTTTCCAACCCTAACTCTTCTATGATTCTATGATTCTATAAACCATAAAATTTATAGCAATTAGGTTCACCAAGAACTGCTGAAGTTTTGCTTCAACACATGCTACTCCACTGGGAAAAATGTCACCTTCAAGCCATCAACCCATTGGCTTTGATGGCAGCTCTTTTCAAAGAATCAGGGTCCTCAGATGAGCATGGCTGTTGCTCAGAACAGTTTGTATTCTCCCAGTAAGTACGTTTTCACAGTGTAGGTCTAAACATAGTGACATATATCCGTATGTGTGTAACATGGGACTTTAATGGGTCGTTAGATTGTGAAGTATGCAATATACAGGCCAGAAAATTTTACAGTGAGATAAAAACGTAATCTTTTAAAGTTTATATGCTATCTGAGTTAGTACTGTCTTGATTGTCCTGCTCTGTAATGGCTTTTGTAGTACATCTGAAGCTTTTTTGTTTTTTCTGCCTCTGTAGTACAGCTACAAGGAAACTGTGATTTCACTGGAACCAATCAAGACAATCAAGAAAACCAAGGTGCTACTTCAAATCCTGACCTGTTCAATGAAAAGCATGTTTACATTTGTGGCTAATTTGCCTGACCAAGAAGTTAAAAGTTAAATGACACATTTTTTTCCTGGTATATAGAAGTCATGAGTTTTAGTTAGTTAATACCTGTGTAGCTTTTCTTAAAGGTACAATACATTTGATAACTGTAGCAGGTTTAACAGTAAGGAGCAGGCAAAACATCTCAGTTAGAATTTTTCAAAGGCATTTATGGCAGGTTTCCCCAAAATTCAGTAGGTCTTGGATGCAGTAAAGTCTAATTTACTGAGATGCTTTAACCAAAGCAGATTTGTTATCTTGATATATATCTCTGTGTGTATACTTTTATTTCAGCATTTAAAAAAGTTTTTCAATTTGCCTAAGTGCAGTTTCAAAAAAATAAATATGAATGCAGGGGATGCAAAATTGCTAGGACATCCCAAAAAAAATTATTGGCTGGTAGCTAGTTGTCTGGAGCATCAGACTCCTGGGTACTGTAAAATGTTTGCTACCTGTGCTTCATCCTTTGCCATGTTAAAGCCTCAGAGAGCCAGGTTTGCTGGATGTGTGGAAATGCTTTGAGTTTGGGCCCCTCATCTCTTGGGGAATAAAGTTCAAAAGTAAGAATTCCACTAAGCATAAATTTGATCTGGGAGAAACTATAAGTGCCTAAACTCACCTCTGTCTCCTTTCTGGCTTAAGATAAATGTGGTACAGTACAGTATTAGTGCAGCTTTGTATCCAAGTCATACCTTAATCTGATCACACCTGTGTTGACCAAAATACATGAATTACAAAAGAAGCTGTTAATTTTTATGCAACCCTAATCTATTAGGATAATTAGGAAAGTCTAATCTTTGTTATTAACTATGTTTCAAAGACAAGAAGAA